ACTTCAAATATGCAACCCTAACATGTAAGCTTGAGAAACAAGCAGCTATTCTATTTTTAATACAGTCAGGAAATGAATATAGATGCCAGGGTTTTCTTTCCCAGCTACCTCTGAATACATAGCAAATTCACTGGGACAGAGGTGCCAGGTGATTTTTCTCCCATAGTATTTGAAGATCTCTTGAGGCTCAAATGCTGTAGCACCCCAAGTATTGCCACATCCCTATAAAGAAGTCAACTTGACTCCTGAGCCAGAGTGCAAAAAGCTATAGGATTGCATACACTGCAGTTTTTAAACAGTAAGGTGGTTATATCCCAGAGCACTTCATACTGAACGCATTTTTGTTTTCTTTTTCTTGCTGAAACTGAATCAGAATTGTCTAATATCATGCTGTGAGTCTATAGCAGAGCAAGGCACACACCCTACACACACCAAAAAGAAATTTGCAAAAGTTCTAAGTCGTCAAAGTTTTCCTGGCACACCTTATAAGCCAGTTGCATAGGAACTAAAGTCGTAAAATCTGAGCTATCTTTGCCAAGCACCATTTCATTTCTTTTAGGGGCATTCCTGGGGCCCTCTATTGTAAGATTTGTCATTCCTTTTGAAATGTGAATGCCAGAACTCTTCTCCAATTGAGATGCCATTCCAAAGCAATCCACTGACAGCATTGACAGCATTGAGTTGGTTAATTCTCAGGTAAGAAACAGTTAAGTCCAGAATGAGGTGCAGCCACAACCTTCTTTTGCTAGAGGGACTGGTTGATGCTGCTTTCATGTGATCTGCTGTCAAGGGGAAACAGAAGATCAAAGAGACTGGGGTCCTGCTTGGTCTCATATCACCATTTTAGAAAAAATTCACTGCACAACAGGCTTCCATTGTCAAATTGCTTGGACATTTTTGTACAATTACACAATACTAGTCAAAAGTCTGCTGAGAATACCATCAAGTGATGTTGCCCTGATACTGGCAGGAAAGACTACTGTCCCTAAAACTAATACACTGTCCTTTCTCATTCCTTTCTTTCTTCAAGGATGTCAGGGCTGAACCTTAACTACAGGTAGGATGCCATTTCAATGAGAAGTTCAGAGATCGTTTTAATATCTTAGGTTTTCAAGTAGTGGAACTCTTAGCTCTTGAGGGTCGGTAATGAAGAATGAAGCCACGTCAGGAAGCCATTCTGTCATCTGAGGAAGACTTTTAATGCTGGAGTTTTTGATGAATACTATATTCCTCTTTGAAATACTGCTGCTTCTTGCCCCAGAGATTCATTTAGGAAGCCTTTATCTGCCTGCCGTTCTCCAATGCTTACAAAAAGGCTATTCAACATCTTTTTCAAAAATGTGTATTGTTCTCTTTTTTTCCCCCCCAGAGAGTTCTTTCAGGAGATGATGTCCCTTATTATTTGCAGGCACAGAAAAACTGATATTTCCTATTTTCTATTTCTTGGTTTGTCTTTTGTGTGTACTTGTGGTTTTTTGTTTGTTTTGTTTTTGGTTGGGTGTTGTTTTTTTGTTTTTTTTTTTTTTTGGTTTGTTTGTTTTGTTTGTTTGTTTTTTGGGTTTTTTTTTTTTTTTTGCTTTTTTGTTTTTGGGTGGTTGGGTTTTTTCCACAGTAACAATTCAGTTTTTCTTGATTTGTGCTCTTTCATAATATTAGAAACAGGCCAATTTTGACAACTGCAAAAATTAATTAGACAGGAAAAATCTGCAAGACAAGATAGTAATGTCTTAGTAAATTAGACAAATGTCTTCCTTTCAGAGCTCTATTTAATCCTATTGGTCTGTATTTCACATCATTTACAAAATCACTGATGAAAATGGTGCTACTAGACACAAGCAGTTCCTTACACGTTGGCAGAGTAACCCAAACAGTAAATAGAATGATTTTGGTTAGCAGCACTGAGAATTAGCTTAACTAACATTAGTAGGGACTATTAATATTGACACCAGGACATTTACAAATATGGTCTATCAAAGCATTTGGGAAAAATGTTTATTGCATTTGAAAAGAGTTTACTTAACCTTTATTTGGGTGATAATTTCTTAAACCAGATGGACATCTGAAGCCTGAAAGGACTGTTATGTCATTTACAATAACTCCCTGTTGGCTAGGCAGGTTTCCTAAATGGACTTTTTTTTGCTAAAGGCTTGAGACCAAAGCTATATTGCAGAGTATTAGCTAAGAGCACCCTAAATGCTGAAATAAGATGCTGCCACTCTGATATCCTGTATTGTCAGCTAACACATCCTAACACTCAGAAATCTTCCCAGACTCACTGTCTACAAAGCCAGTCACAATAGTGTACTTAAGCAATCAGACCTGTTATGCTAACTGAGGCATGAAGAATACAATATATCAGTGAATAGAAGGAGTAGAAGCTTGTGCTCCCCCTTACTGCACGCTTGGCCAGTATCTTCAACATGTGAAACATATCACAGAAATACAGAGATGTTAAGTAATAATAAGTTTACATACCAATTAACACCCATGCTCTCTCTCTTTGCTAGATAAATATCCAAGAAATTGATTTCACTGCTTTCAAAACTTTCAACAAACTTGGATGATCTGTCAAGGAGATGTATGAGCCATTAAAATCTGCAATTACTTTACTTCAAAGCCACGATTAAAAGGTTGGGTTTCCCTTCCCATCCTTAGCCATTGATTTCCAAGGCAAGAACATTTCACTGGTGATGTAAACCCTAATGAATTACCAAGCAACTAGCAGAAAAGAAAATTCAGCTCCTCCCAACCAATCTCATATAATTGAGCTTTATTGAGATGAAAGGATGAGGGTGAGGGGGAGAAGACTAGACGATTGTAAATTTGGATTGTATTTTTATCACCATTTAGCATTGAAGTATAATTTGACATTTTATTGATACTTCCAGTATTTAAAGCTGAAAAGTCCTACATTAAATTTTACCATGTATATCTGATATGACAATAAAAAGCCTCTTGCACTTTGCTTAGTAGCTGCTGCAATAAAATGTAAGTAGAAATGCCATGCAAGAAATGATTTGTCTACTTCCGTCCACTACCACTTCCAAGCTTTCCTAAGCTTTTTTCAGTTACCTGGGCAGACTTTGCTACTTTGTTTCCCATTTCCTCTCCATGACAGTAATTTTCTTTAAAAAAAAAAAAAAAAAAAAGCCAGCTGATACTTGTTACATTCCTCTTTTTAGTAGCTGTTGTAATGTCTTTATGAAATCAAAGATGCAAGGCTTCCTCTGCTTCTAATGCCTTGTGACTGTTCTCTAAGAGAACTGCTAAGGTGCTACCATCACCCTTGTATGACTAGTGGTTGTATCTTCCCGTACATTTGTTACATGCTAAGCCTCCTAAACCAGAAGAACAATGGAGTAGCACAGTGTGCTTTCCGTCCTTTGTATTATGAATTAGTAGCATCCCTATAATTCTTCTCTGCTGCTCCTTATTAAAGAGTAACCATATTTACAGTAGGTTTAAAGAACAAATCTTTGTTAACAGCTTTGTCTTCCACTGGATCAAGAAAATGAACAAGTAAATAACACATTATACTTTTGAATGTCCAAGTCTCTTCTTAATAAATAAATATAAGATGAAATTATAAACCTATTAGAGCTCTAAACACTCAAGGGATCAAAAAGTCAAATACAGTATACAACTGAATAGATTAGAAGACTGAAACACAAAGGTATTTCCTCCCTGGTATTATGCCAAGCAGCGATGAAATCATTAAATACTTTTGAAAAGAAAGACCTCTTAAAAGGTGTAGAGGAATAAATCTGACAAGAGAACTGATGTATCCAGGAAAAGACAGATTGTTACTACTCTTTATCTAAAGAGAGTCATTGCATGAGTATCTGGAATACACCTCCAGAGAGCAGGGTTCACAAAGATTGGAAGAATGTATGAGGTTCAAGAAAGGCCACCTCTGTCCTTAAGCCACAGTTCATTTGTATTACAGGGCTGTAAAGGAAGTGACTTTTCCATACACCAGCGCTATCTGTTTAATATGGAAAACAAAAAATACCTTCTGCTGTTCATTTTATTTGCTGAAGAGCTTCTGACCAATAGATCAAAGGATTGGGTTTTTTTGGTTTTTTTTTTGTTTTTTTTTTTCCCCATAACATTTCAGTCCAGAGTTCTCACTGCTGTTGTAGCTAAAAAGATAGCAGATTTTTAAATCCAGATCTTAAAGCACTTGGGGTGGGATTCTGAGGGAGTTTAAGATGGCTGGTCAGCCAAAAGTCAGTCTTCCTGGGCTCCTTCCACTTGCTCTATCCTGCTTATCCCATAACCACCAGCCTACCATGATGCTTCCTAGAACCAACACAGAAACATCAGAGGAATATCTGTCCCCAGTGGGTACAACCTTTCCTCAGGCTCACTATGATATTCTCTGGTACGCCACAATTATTGACCTGTACTTGTATTACAATTGAACAGATTAGCACAGTGGAAGGGTGATATAGAAATCACAGAAACACCAAGATTGGAAAAGACCTACAAGATCATCAGTCCAACCATCCACCTACCACCAACAGTTCTCACTAAACTATATTCCTCAACAGAACATCCAAACATTCCATGAACACCTCGAGTGTTGGTGACTCCACCACCTCCATTGGCAGCCCATTCTACTGCCTGACCACTCTTTCAGTGAAGTAGTATTTCCTAACATGCAGCCTAAACCTTCCCTGGTGCAACTTGAAGCCCTTCCCTCGAGTCCTACCATCAGTTAGGTGAGAGAAGAGGCCAACCCCCAGTTCACTACAACCTCCCTTCAGGTAGTTGTAGAAAGCAATAAGGTCTCCCCTGAGCCTCCTCTTCTCCAGACTGAACAATCCCAGCTCCTTCAGCCGCTCCTCATAAAGCCTGTGCTCCAGATCCCTCACCAGCTTTGTTGTCCTTCTCTGAACCTGCTCCAGGGTCTTAATATCTGCCTTGCAAATATAACAACAAAGAGACCAGCACAGAAAACATAGCATTGCACAGGAAAAGTAAACATGCTCACCTACCTACCCAAAAATCCAGGCTTACAGAAAGGACTCCACAAGGCTCCAACCAGAAATCCTTCCATAGTGGCTGTCAGCCCTTAAAGGAGGTCTAAGAGAGGTGCAGCCATGCTCCACCTCTTCTGGCCACTGAATTGCCTTCACCTGTGCTCCCAGGGCTGACTGGGCCCTTTCCCCAGGTGATCAATCAGTGGTTCAGGCTGTGAGTCAACAGTTACAACACAACTTGTCTGAAAAAGAACAAAGGTACATTCTTCTTTTTCTTAGCAGCACGAAGATGAACACTTAGTTTACCTCAAATGAGCCTGCCAAGACTTAGCACGCAAGACAAGTAAACACCTACCACAGCTGAAAGGAAGTCCCGTGTAACAGAATGAACATGGACTACATCTTGCTTAAGATTTCAGTGACCTAAATCCAAGAGAAGATGAGATACATCTACTTATTCCTTAAGGTTCCATGTATAAACTATGAAAATTTATGCTTTAAGGGAGAATGGAAATTCAGAACTTCTAGAACTTCTACCATCACACTTTTCAAACTCAGAATAGCTCTTTCAGGGACACAGAAGATAGTGCAGGAGTTATGAGAAATGTCATTTCAAAAGTACCTGTAAGAATTTGGTTTTCAGTCAACCCTACCTTAAAACTTTTGAGATTTTTTGAAATAGAAATTACAATTAAAGAAGAATTTTAATTTTCACAGACTTTAGCTATCTCTCTTCCTTCATATGTGAAAATAACAATGATTTTTTTCTTTTTTTTATTTGGGGATTTTTTTTAGCTATTCAGATTAAATGCCTGGAGAGAAAATTCAGATGTATGACAGGACGGCTGAAAGTATAAAGAAAATGCACATCAACATGGAAATCTTAGTCATGACTATAAAACAGCTCATTTAAACAAAGACAACATGATATGTATAGTAAAAATACAGTGTGCGTTCATTCTTCATTTTAATCCAGTTTCACATCAAAGGAGATTCTCCAGGAATTGTGATGTACATGAAGGTATTTGAGTAGGAAAATGAAAGTTTCACCATTTATAAAATCTTTCTGCTATTTCTCCCTCTAGAGAGAATTGTATAAATATAGTATGTTGCTCTTCAATTCATAATCAAGCATTGAAATATGAAAAATTAGCTTTGTTAGGGTGGCTCTGCCTGATCACAGATCTGACAGAACATGGAACACAGACGATGAAGTTCTTTTGGAGATGGTATTCATTGTTAGTGATAAACTTATACAGAAAGAGCAGATTCAGAGAGGTCAAGAAGTAGCTCTCCCCTAGACATGAAAAAGATGATATTTAGACTGTAATATTTTTCATTACACTTTTTTTTTTTTTTTTCTGGCTTCTATTCAACAAATCAGGGCAAATCCTACTGAGGTATGCATAATACCCCTAGCAACAGATGCTGACAAGTGCATTAATAAATCATGATCATAATCAGAATTATAAACAAATATTTTCCTGCCAGACATGTTGTTTATTATAATTTTGTATTTTACTTAATTTATTTATTTTTTTCAGATTGTACTAATCTTTGCATAAAATATTAATTGATCAAATTACTGTAGCAGATTAGCTTACAAAGGTCACTAACAACACAATTAGGTTCTGGAACAGGCAGTTGATGCTTTGACATGCAAGATGAGAGACAGGACTCCAAAGACCGTAGTAATGAATTAATTGTGAAATGGCAAGTGTTGTCAGTTCAAAGTCAAGTTCAGACGGACCCGGTGTCTGGATTACAGTAAAATTAGATCTTGCATGAAAGGAATGAAATGAATAGACTTTGAAGCAAATGCATTTCAAAATAGAGGGTTTTGAGCCCTCTGTAGAAGGCTGTGCAACCCTTCCTGTATCTCTCATTGTAGATTTCTCCTTTCCTCTGTGACTACGGCAAACCTTTGCAGGAACCTCAGCTCAGCATCTCTCAGAGATTTTTAGCCAAATTTGCTTTCAGTACTTTTTCACTAAATGGCTATCTCTAGTCTACACTTTTTCTTCTGTCTAGGTAACAGTGGGCATTCAATGTTTATGCCACTTTCATGGTGTCCTGACTTAAGGCAGTTTTCTTCTCTGTGTCACTATCTCACAAAGAGCATTATTCCCAGAAATTCAGGAACATGATTGGCTTTATCTAGCTTAAATTCTGAGAAAGCTGCAGGTGTGTGGACTCCACATTTTAAAAATTGTACCTGATGGAAAAATGAGACAAGCTCATACGTACACCATCCTAGTTAACAGCAGAAAGGACTGGAAGAAGAAATCTACTGCTGATGTGGTTTGCTGATGATAGTAGATAACTTCTTGCCACAACAGTATTGAATTTTGTTTTGGTATTCACCATCTGGCATTTTCAGAATTTCCTCAGGGAAGATCCACAGTCATTGGTACCTCCTTTTCTTTATCAATGATCTGTGAATGGTAAAACCAGCTACTTTCTCCAACTGTCCAGATGAACAAGGGAGAGGATAAACTGCAGCAATGATGAATCTTAGACCTCTCAAGGGAAATGAGTACAAAATGTGATTCTTGCTGCGGTGCAAAAACCATCTAAATCTTGTCTTTGTGTATTTTGGTCCTGCAAAAGCATCCTCATACATTCCTATTGTCCTTAATAGATGAGACTCCAGAGCAAGTAGACCAGTATCACAGCATTTTCTCATTTCTTCTAAGAAACAAGACATAGTTCAAATGCCTTGGATAGTATCAACTGTTCTGAAATGATACTGGGAAACAGATTGGATCCTGTAAGAACCTACCATGCTGTGTAGAAGTCATGCTCATAATAAGTAACTGTAAGACACTGATGTCAGCTTACTTGTTTGTCTCTAAGTACTTCTGCTGATTGAGGCTCTGGGGGCTCCAGATAGAAAGCAACACAAGAGAGAAGAAAGTTTCTTCCACATAAATGCTATATATGAACAACAGTGCTTTTTTTTCTTCTGATAATTATTTTTAAACTTCCCTAAATACTGATTAATATGTCAAAGATGTAAGCACTCCATTGGTCTGGTAAATATACAGCTAAGGATTGCTTAGCACAACAAATTTGGTGGCTGTTATGGTCTATCAGACAAATGTATATTTAGCCTAAAGTTGAAGCATACATTATTTACTTGGTTGACATTAGCATCTTGATGAAGCTGCTCTGGGAGCTGTTATGAGACACCAATGTGATACAGAGTAGTGGAAATGCTGGCAAATGGAGCCTTGACATAATGCCTCGTAGCAGCTGTGTAGCATCAGCTCGTGGCTTGGATTTGAGATGAGGGTGGATGCGTGGGTAGAAAGCAGGTGCATGTTTTCCTAGGAGAGCTCACAAGCCATTCTTGTGTACAGCAGTCTTCCTTTCCTCTTAAAGACTAACTGAAGCTGCCACAAGATTGGAAAACTAAATAGACTGTGATGGAGAAAAAAGGCCCTTTGCAAAAACTAAACTGTGCTTGTTTTGTTATTGATCTAAGAACCAACTTCTTGGAATGGCTCAGCTCAGAAGAAAAGGGAGGGTATGTGGAATTCTTATGTGAGTGGAGCTGCTGGAGACAGTGTCTCCTTAATTAGGGTTCAGCAAGTGACCTAAGAAACAAACAACAAAAAATACATAGAGGAAAATAATCCAAACAAACAAAACAAATCAAACAATCAAGCAAAACAAACCCAAACAAAACTTTTAGCTCTGTGGCAACATGATGTACTATTTGCTCCACAAACACATAGTCTCTCTCTTCCTGATCCTTCTTCACAGTTTTCTACCTGAGAACAAGCTGCCCTTTTTTTTTTTTCTCCCCTTTCTCCATGTTCCCCCTGTGATACAGGATACTCAAGGCAAGGATATTTGTTGTTCATTACCCATTCAGATCCTCTTGCAGGTAATAAATGCACTTTCCCCTGTGCCACCTGGCCCGTCAGCACCAGTCACCTACACAAGAAACATGGGAACTTCAGCACAAAGGAATGGTTCAGATTTGTTATTCTTTAAGGAAATGCAACAAATTCCATGTGGTTTTGTTTGCATTGAAGGTCTGATTGATCTTTTCCTTCCATCCCATGAGCAGTCCACTACCAGAAGCATCCAGCTCCTGACATCAGACTGAGGAACTCCTCTCTACTTGCTTTCATGAAATGTCAACCAGCTCGGGGAGAAGTAAGGGAAGCCAAGTGTTCTCTGCTATAATAAGCAGACCAGCATGCATGCTGCCAGGCTCAGACAAGAATAAATTCTCAGCCAGGCCAGACAGTTCGTGATATTAGCTCAGTAGTCAGAAGGTTTAAAAAAATCATCTTTTCACTTGTTTTTTTTAGCATTATTCATGGGAAGACAAAGGAACAAAGATAAAGTTTTTCAAACTTTTAAAAATTTTAATTTTTTTCAAAAATCTAATGAGCTTTTTCAAAGAATCTAATGAGGTTTAACAAGACCAAGTACGAGGTATTGCACTACAGTCAGGGCAATCCAAGATAAGAGTACAGACTGGGTCAGCTCTTTGAGAACAGTCCTGTGGAGAAAGACATGGGGATCCTGATAGATCATGAAGCTAGACATGAGCTTGCTCTTGCAGACCAGGCCAACAGTATCCTGGACTGCATCAACAGAGGGATGGAAACAGGGACAGTCACTTCTCTCTCTGCTCCGCCCTTGTGAGACTCCAACTGAAGTACTGCATCCAAGCCTGGGGCTCTCAGTACAGAGAGGATGCAGAGGTGCTGGAACAGAAGAGAACAAAGATTATTAGAGGGCTGGAGCAGATGTTATATGAAGACAGGCTGAGAGAGTTGGGCTTGTTAAACTTGGAGAAGAAAAAGTTCCACGGAGACATCATTGCAGTCCTCCAGTACTTGAGGAGAGCTTACAAAGCAGGAGGGAGAATTATTTCTTATGCACTCTGAGAGTGACAGGATAAAACAGTTAGGTTTTTTATTCAGAGTGGCGAGGTGCTAGAACAGGCTGCCCGGAGAGGTTGGGGATGCCCTGTCTCTGTATACATTCAGTGCTAGATAGGATCCTGGGCAGCTTCATCCACAGGGA